AACTGATGCATAGCAAAGTTTTGCTTCTTTTGCGAGATCGGATGATCTCGCGCAATAATTTAAGGCTTTATATATAAAAAAAAAATTGGATGAAAGAAAATAGAACATGTATAGATAGAAAATGAAAACGATCTTCGTAATAAATGCGTCTCGGACGTGCAGCGCGAGTCAGTTTGCTTTCGGATAGATCTCAAACTATTGTATGCAATTGTACAAACGAGCAATCTACTCTCTGAGGACTCTACACATCGGATTTATATAATATAAAAAAAAGGGGACACCAGAGAAATAGGAGGAATAAGCGACGAATCCTGCGCAGTGTGATGAGTCGCGTGATGAATCCGCCAAATCTTTATATATATTTATAAGCCATTCGATTTCTTTATATGGACTGATCATACTATATTAATAGCATATTCGTTGGTGATCTCTCGCTGCGCGCATAAAATTTCACGGGTGACTCGCAACGAATCGTGAGAATTCAATCCTTAATCAGCAGAGATGAGGAGTCACCGTGCAAACAATATGAAAAAGATATATTTGTTAAAATTTGAACGCTGTCAATGTAAAAATGAAATTAACGCGATAAGCATGATTAGAAAACGAAAAATTTCATTAGTAGTTGCGTAATGGAGTTTATAATACCATTTAATGGTCGATCATAATACAACTCGAATCTTTTTTTTTCTCTTTTTTTTTTTAATAGAGAAACACGTTTTTCTCTATTCCAAATATCACAAATTTGTAAGGCATGTAAAGGAATCGTTCGAGTCATAGAAAGTGAATTTTTGTATACGACTTATTTCCTTTTCTTTTTTTTTATTTTTTTTCTCTTTCCCTCACTCGAGTTGTTTTACTTTCGTTATTTCGCCAAGTTGAATGATCCTTTTTTTGCGAGAGCGAGCGGAGTTATTATGATAAATATCATAATAACGAGATGCAATTAGCACACATAACACGGACATGGCATACAGATAACGACTTGAAACCATTAACGGAGCCCTATCAGTGTATAACGCGTAGGGTATCGATATCTTATAATCAGGCAAAAGGTTGTTCTATGTATGATTGTGCGTGTAACATTGTTAATAAACATACGATGCTTATGAAGGCCCCCTTCTTTCCATTTATTTCACGCCACCGTAATGCGTTCTAATTAATCACGTTTACTCATAACGTATCATGTAATTAAAAAAAAAATGCATAGAATACGCTTTATACTTTAATTTCTCTCTTCAACAGACAGAATGGTTTTACTGAAGTAACAAAAAATTTAGCCTAGATACAGACCTGAAAATAATTTTATTTTAAACAAAATAATTATATAGAACAATGTTGATGGATGCTGCAATAAGTTTTAATATTCTAGTCCCAAGTTAAGCGTCTTACATATTATTTTGATTCAAACAAAATTATTTTTAGATCTGTATCTAGCTAAATCAGGAGACATGGCGCTAAAATTTTTAGATACTTTAACAAAACTGTTCTTTCCGTGCTAAGAAACCGATGCTTCACATATCCTTCAAAACGATAGCTTTAATACACGTTATACATTTTCAGTATTGCGATCTTCCGTTTGTTATACATATATAATACAAATAGTTCATAAAGACGTTTAACTATCTGATCGTAATTATTCCGCAATTTAAAAAAAGTTGCAAAATATCTTATAAGAAAACACAAAAACGTTTTTAATATACAAATAACAGCGCTTTATTTGCCGATACAAAAATTTTTGAATATAATGTCTAATATTTCATCAGTGCTAACGTGTCCCGTTATCCTTCCGAGTTCCCGCATCGCTTTGTGGATTTCCTCCGCCGCTATGGCCATATCGTGCTGCTCGTTGGCGCAAAATTCGAAGTACTTTTGCAGATGTCTCAAGCACCGATCCAAGTGGTTTCTGTGCCTTGCTTGACTGATGGTTGGACACTCCGCGGATGGATCACCGCATCTAAACAAAATGTTACCACGAATGTATAATCACGAATGCAAGTGTCAATGATTATTGTTCATTCTATCGTACATATTACTGAAGTGATCTGTCAGCGATCGCAGCAAGTCCTGGAAACCATCCTCCGTTCTGCAGGATACTAGAACTGCTTCAGCGTTGTCGAGGTGCCGTTTCTCCTCCTCCTTCAATAAATCTTTTTTATTCGCTATCACAATAAAACGTTCTCTCCCGATTTTCGCCAGCAGCTCCTGTATTCCTAATGACGATAGATATTCGCGTACATAATCTTTATAAGTCAAACCACTGGTTGCGCATTTCAACGCGTCTATCATAACGACTACAAAATCAGCGTTCTCCGCGTGACTTCTCGCTCGACGGATACCCTCAGCTTCGACGATATCCCCGATGTCCTCTGTGATACCAGCGGTATCCGCTATCAAGACAGGATAACCCGAGATGTTCGCGGTCAGCTCGATGACGTCCCTCGTGGTGCCGGCGATGGGTGTAACGATGGCGGCATTTCGCTGCACCAGGTGATTCAGCAGGCTGCTCTTGCCCACGTTGGGTTCGCCGATGATTACGGTCCTCACTCCGTTGCGCAGAATTTCGCCGCGTCTGCCGTCGGCCAAATGTTCCTCCAGTTCCCGCATCAGCTGTCTGAGAGCGTGATGCGCGTTCTGTATCACATCATTTTCGATGTTATCCTCCTCACCGAAGTCGATGTACGCCTCGATACTCGCCACGGACTCCGAAAGCACTTTCCGCCAGCTATTGTAGAGTTTACGCAGGATACCATCGACCTGTAGCAGCGCTTGCTTCCTCTGACACTCGGTCTCGGCCTCTATCAAATCGGCCAGGCCTTCCACTTCCGTCAGGTCCAGCTTATTGTTATAGAAGGCGCGTCTGGTAAATTCACCCGGCAGCGCCGGATGTACCTGCAATCTTGAGAGGGCTTGCATCAGCTTCGTCAGGATCGCTGATCCGCCGTGTACATGAAACTCCACGGAATCCTCGCCGGTGAATGAGTGCGGACCTATAAACGGTTGTTAATTGCCTAATTAGACATGTGATATTATTCCTGTGATAGGAGGTTCCTCGTTTCTTTCGTCGCCATTCACAAGGGACCTATTACAATAGGAAACGATTTGATTCTCCGTGAAATATGTTATTGAACACAAAATTCTAAAATCACATATATTTTTATATCGGCTCAATTTGAGATTTAAAGAGTTAAACCCTCAAAACTTAATGGAGATGAGGCTATTCAAAATATTAGATTCTTATAGATTTGAAAAATCTAAATACAAATTTGTAAAGTATATAAAAAAAAAAAAACTAAAGTTTTGGTATAACTGACTGTGTTGTTGATAATCGATAAGAATTAAATATAAGCGCTAGCCTTGAAGGGTTTACATCTCTCGTTTACATCTTTTAAATCTGATTGTGAGAGTGAATCGATATAAAAAAAATACATGTCTCTTAGATTTTTGCGTTTAACAACATTTCAAGGAGAATCGAATTAATTCCGGACAAATCTCTTGCAGTTCTTTAGAGAACCTCTTCTAAAATATTTATATATCAAATTTGTAAACAAAATATATGAGTACTTGTAATTTAAATTTATAAGAAAATATAAAAATAAAAGCATGTCGGTCATTGAATGTGTTAACTCTTCGTTGACAACATAAATTTTAGTTCTTCCATCAGCAATAAGTCTTGAAGAAATAGAACAAATTTTTTTATTGCTGCTGATTATATAAAATTCTGAAAAAAAATCTGATATTCTGATGTCTTTTAATTCTAGTTGATGGTAGAGGATTAAAAAGGTGAGAATTGTGCGAGAATTGCACGCACCAGGAAACCACAAGCAAAGTCCATTGTCAATGACCTCTCTTGTTTCTGGATCGCGTATCTTTTGCAGGAAGGCTCTCCTCGGTTCCAGCTTGGATATGTTTGTCATCTTTTTCAGTGCGTCTAGAGACCGGCTTCCTGATATTCTCACTACAGCCACGCCGCATTTTCCGTAGCCTTAATAAACATTTTTATTTAATTCTTGTATCTATGATGCTTAATATAAATTTATAATAATGTACTTCATATTTATACACCAAGAAAAAAAGAAGAAAGTTTAATTGTAAAAACAATTTTTTTTCACTTTAACAGCATAGATCGCAAGGTTTAGTGTGGTGCCGTTTTGTAAAGCATGTAAAGATCGAAGAAAACAAAAGAAATACGGCATTAATCATTTGATTGAAATTGAAGGACTTTGATTAATCTAATCAGTAGATTAACTTTAATCTCGATTTAACTTGCTCTTCATTTTTTTTTAAATTTCTTTAGATGAAAATTAAATTACATTGGTAAAAACGAGTATCATTTTTCGAATTAAAAAAAGATAAACAGTTAAGTTAAATCTACACTAGTAAAAAAGATCATGTAAGACCAATGCGATGCGAATCAGAGGGAGGGGAGAAGACACGCGATCCGAGCCAGCGAGTCTTAACCTATCAGAAAAATGCCAGACAATTTATCGAGAAATTTGCGAGAATCAGCGTGTCAGGATTCACCCTCTCTCTTTCTCGTCGGGCAAAGTAAGTGTAATAACCGGAAGACAGAGCACAGATGGTTGTGCCCTTGCGATCGCTCACAGGACAATTGGCGGTAAAGTGACGATAGCGCGACGTCCCACGCGATACGACAAACCACGCGCTTCGAGAAGATCCACGGATGAGGGAATAGAAACGCCCGCGAAGGTTCATCGGAGACGAGAACAGGCGCACAGCGAGTTTACTGCTCGTCAGACGAAATGTCGACATATATCGACAAAATGACGAGAGACGAATGAGACAAGTGGACGACAGTGCACTACGAAGAGATAGCGATTGTGGAATCACAATTCACACGGTGAGGTACGGTGAGACTGCCAGAAACGAACGTTGTGCTGCGCGGCAGAGACGTGAGATCATTGTCGATGTCTGGATTGTAGTTAGGAATCGGTAGTTTCTCTTATGCTTCTGATTCAACAAAATCCTTTCGTCCATCGATCGTCACGATCGCCATTTCATGTCGCGCTGCACGTTTAACCCTGGATTACAGCAACGGATCATTTAGACCTGAAGCAAAAAATTTTAGACGGTTGTATAATCTTTATGATTGGTACTACACACTTTCCAAAACTTTTAAGGTGAATTTTATTGAAGAGTGAAATCTCATTCTTAAAGATTGAAAATTGAACCACTTTTTTAAGATTGGCTCAATTTTCACTCTTTAGAGTCAGATTTCTATTAAAAAAATTTATCGAGTATGAGGTTCTAAATTATAAGGAAAAAACTTTAAACCTTCTTCTATCAATTGCTGCAAAGCGAAGGTTTACTTGCATTCTGTACTTCAAACTGTAAAATTTAGGAGTATAGTTTTTGTAACGTATAAGTAAAGATTTACAAGAGTAATCGTTATTGAATTACACTTTAAATTATTTAGACCCAGTTCCACAACTCACAGAATCAAGTAGTTAACTCTTAACCGAGGTTCAACTTGCTTCTCATCTTTTTCCAATTCTAGAATTTACTCTAAAAGTTTTAGAAAGTATGTATCCTTGATTAATACTCAAGATGTTCATTCCAGGTATAAGACACAACGTTAGATTTGTTGTCCTTGCACAATGGAGGATCTAGAGGCAAAACTGACGGCGAACGAAGTAGTGCTGGATAGATGCGGCAACTGGGTGGAATCCCAGAAGAATTGTTTCTATACCAAAGAAGACTCCCTCAAGCAAAAGCCAGATGAATTGGAGTGCGATGATTGGTACAACACAGACTCGGAATTCGACTCCGTCTCAGAGTGTGGCGGGAAAAAACGTAAAGTGGGAACGCAACTGAAGAACGAGGTGCTGGATCTGGTTTGCGAGTGGAAGGAATGCACGTTTCGCAGCAATCATTTAGATAAATTTTTGAGGCATGTCTCGAGTCACATACCTAACATACAGATAAGCATAAAAAACGACAACGAGGTCTATGTGTGTCAGTGGAAAGATTGTCCATATAACACCGATGTAGGCGACGAAGTAATACGGCATGTTAATTATCATGCCTATCACACTAAGTTGAAGTGTATTGGATCCAATGTTCGCGCAAAAATCAAACTACCCGTAAGTAATGATGGATATTTTCCAGTAAGAAACATAGATGACACAACAGATCATTACGTTTTTGTTTGTTAATCTTAAACAAAAATTAAATATTCACCACAAATGGGTGAGTAGTATTCAGTAGAGTAGTATTCAGTCAAAGCAAGTTTTGGTGCTTAACTATATTGTATAAATTTTTACAATTTAGACAAAGATGGAAATGATTACTATTGCTGGAAAACCACATGGTCATCAGTGGAATAAATGTTAAAGATTAAAGATTTTTGTTGCAGAAATGTCATAGAGATGCAGAATGGAAGAACATTTTAGATTCCCCACCTCCACATTTGTGTAGATGGGAAGAGTGCTTGAAACTGTTCACGAATTATCAAATGTACTTGTATCATGTTACTGTACACATGACTGATTGCCCGCGTGGCAACAGAATCAAAGACGGAGTCGATTGCAAATGGACCGGGTGCAATGGCAAATATACCAGCTTGTACAAATTACGAGATCATGTAAGATGTCATACCAAAGAGAAAATAATTGCCTGCCCGGACTGCGGTGTCATGTTCGCCTCAAAGACAAAATTTCACATACATTGCCAGCGACAAATTCCCTTGGAAGGTAATAAATTCATTATACGGCATCTCTTTCATTTTCTTCCAATCATGAATTTACAGTGCAAGGATTCCGTTGTTCACACTGCAACAAGTTTTATCCGACCGAAGGAATCTTGCGCGATCACATGAGATCTCATGTATTCAATTACAAATGTACTCTATGTGATATGAGCTGTGAATCGCCATCGGGCTTGGCAAAACACGTCAGATACCGTCACATGTCAACCAGAACGTTTCCATGTCAGTTGTGTTCGCATGCTGCCAAGTCGCAACAGGATCTTGATTCTCATATGACTGTCCATACTAATGGACCAAATTTTTCTTGCTACTTCGAGGGATGTCTTTACACGTGCAAGGGAGCTTACACCTTGGATAGGTAATCATAAAGCTCTTTATTAATGATTTATTTTTTATTTGATGATTGTTAAATATATTACAGGCACTTAGAACGAGTACATAGTTTAGCGGTGCGATGGTACTGTTGCCACGAATGCCCGATTAAATATCGAAAGAGTTATAGATTGACAAAGCACCTTATAGAAGCCCATCGATTGCAATTGCCCAGCGGACACAAACGCTTCCATTATACGCAGGAAGAAGACGGATGTTACAGGCTACAGATGGTTCGATACGAGGCTGTGGATGAAGAAAATATGTTGCCCGTCGAAGAGGCGGATTTACCAGATAAAAAATATAAAATAGAGCTCAATCAAACTACCTCGCTGACAACAGTAAAAGTGAGTTTCATTAACATTATTTAATAGTTTTATTCCATTGGAAATCATATAATGATTTGTTCCAGATTGTTGAAGATAATGCGGAAGAAGAAATGAAAGAAGCTGCACAGGATTCACAAGAGGAAACGGTAGAGAATAGCGTTGACAAGTTCGTACCTGTTATATCTAATATTTTAATATCTATCGATGACGTAGACGAAAAAGGAAATATCATAAAACAGGAAATCGTCGAGATACAAGAAACGAAAGAACTACCGCCATCAGAAAAACCACTGCTAATTTTAACATAAGTTTGATTTCTTTAGAAAGATATTCTTTGACATTTGTATTTTTATATTATTACATTATGTATACTTTCTATAATTTTGCATTAGGCGTTTGTACCTTACATTTATTGCTCCATTTAGTTTTGATACAAATGTGCAACGTAAATTTATTTACCTCGCATCTTCATTTTGAAAAAATTTATTTTTATTTACCACCTTATATTTTTTAAAATGATTATAAAGCAAAGAACAATAAAGTATATATATATGTGTATATATATATATATAACAAATTGAATATTTATTTTATCTTTACTATATTCATGCTTACAGAGCGTAGTTTAATATTAATATAAAATTAAGATATCCATAATTATCTATTATTACATTGCGAAACAAAAAATTATGTTGCCATCGTAACGATACTTTTATAAAAATAATAAATTACCTGATGCTCTCGTAATGTTATTTTAGGAAAAATTCTATATAGAAAAAGTGTAATTATCTTCTTTTGAATCCATATTTCTTCCTCTCATAGAAGAGATCTGTCTTTGAACTTCCTAAGTTGACTATCTTGGGACATCCGTCTCTCTGAAAACACGATTTAGGATATTCAATTTGCGAATAAATTAAATACAAAACTTGTAAATATACAAAGTCTGTTCTTTTCCGCTGAACTTTTTCGGCATTTTATATTGGAAAGAAAACGTCTGTTCCTGTAGATCAACTTTAATCTCTGTTTAAATTTTTAGCTTTTTCTAATTCTTAAAATTAGAAAGGGAATAAATCGCAAAAAATCATTTACAAAAATCTAATACTGGTCAATACTAAAAGACAGTAATTATTTATTTTAATTATTAACAGCATTGTTGTTCAGTACTTCAATAAATAATTAATTACTATCTTTCGAGACATCGAGTGGCCACTCAGTGCGATTGACTCGTTATCTGTAGAACCGGAAGTTCAATCCCACCTGCGCCCACATACGCGATTTTTCGCGTTAAGAAGTTGAAAATGACTCCATCTGGTGATTAAGAGATCTTTTATTACTAGCGCCGTTCAAATCCCACGTTAAATTATAGGTCACATACATATACATGTAATGTATATAGCCCTTTAACAAAATTTTATACATTATTTTAATTTATTATATGCTTCTCTTTCGATTTAAGAATCGGATTCTGAAGAATATAATATACAGGGTGTCCCATAAGTTTTGGCCAATCACTTTCGTGTAGATAGAGTGAACTAAATTGAGTTGAGTCTTTATTATTATGTAATTTTTGCAATGGTTAACGAGATATTAATTACCAAAAATCGCTAAATATTGGTTTTCAATAATTTTTTACTTAAATACTATCAAGTTTACAGAAAAACAGCAAGAGATAAAAATTATTTATTTTCGTCTTATAAAGTTCTAAGAATTTTTTTAGAATTTTTTCAGAATTTTTTAATACCGTATTTTTCTCATAATAAAAATAAGAAAATGCAGTACTAAAAAGTTGATAAAAAATTCTGAAAAAGTGATTGGCGAAAATTTAGAGGACACCCTATGTACAATTTAAGTTAAATAAATCACATCCTATCATTATTAAAAAGAAAAGAAATATTTTACATTTAATTTTTGGTAATAATTTTACTAGTATTACTTAGTTTCTATAAGAAGTTCAGTTGAAAAGAATAGATCAATCTAAGATAATTAGAAATAAAAGATGTTTTTTTAATTTATCAATTAATTAATGCATTATATGCAAATGCAGCTTTAACGGAGCAAAGTAATTGATAAATCGATGAATTAAAAAAAATCTATACTTACATCTTTTTCCTGTATCGTGCATTCTTTACAATAATATGCGTCCGACACGCCGGGACCACCGCATATCACGCAACGTCCCTGATAAGAACCATAATTGCACTCGTCGCATATTCTAACCAAGGTACACGGCCTCACGTAAGAGTCACAAATGACGCATTTGCCATCGCATTTTTCGCACAGTCGACCGATGGCTTAATAAAAAAAGGATAATTGTTAAAATAAAATATTTTGTTTTGACTTACAGGAGTTAGACTTAACCTCAACTCACCGACTCCCGGTTGTTTGCGACAGAAGATTAAATCCGGATGATGCTTGGCCATGTTTACTAAACGCTGTTATTCACTCTTGAAACAATTGAGAACTTAGAAAACGATTATGTCTAAATGCTCGTTTAATGATTTCAGCTTCGTCACTTTTTCTATCAATTTGTTATAATTTGTTGTCATTAAGAGATCTCTTCTTTATTTCTGTACTTTCTGAATTGAATTTCTAGTGCACGTAGTGCAATAGGTTTGTTCTTTTCTCTGGTTCAACGGATTAACAGTTGAACGAACGCTCGGTGTTATTGGTGTATTCTTTTAGATCATCAGAATTTTAGATCTAGAAGAATACGAATAGCAGTGAACTCTCATGCCTACTGGACGCGATAAGCGATGAGCGACGAGCGATATCCAATAAGAGCTTTGCTTTGTGTCATCACGTGAGAAAAAGCACAACTTTTATTGGATATCGCTCGTCGTTCATCGTTCATCGCGTTCAGTGAACTAGGCATTACAAACCTCTACTGAAAAAATTATATACAATATATGTTTATTGGACTGTGTTCGGAAATTTATCCGGGTGCACCAATATAATATTTATCCTCGTTTAACATTCGGTGAACAACAAGGATAAAATGATACATAGATGCACTCGAGTGAAAACAACTTGGATGCGCGCGTCGTATATTGCGTGTCACGCATCGCGCTGGTGTACAAGAACTGCGTTTCGAAATATCATTCGAGTTCCTCGTGTATCGTTTTATCCTTATTATTCAGTCAATGTTAAACAAGGATACACGAGAGCACCCGGATGAATTTCCGAACGCAGAATCGCTTTTTTGTGGGCCTTTAGTTGAGTCTGCTGAACACAACTCTATGGATGTTTTGTCTATGCTTGTCTATGCTCGTTCGTTATTACCTCAAACGATGTTGCATTGTCCGAAATAGTGGTTTCGACTTCGACCAATTTTGGCTACATCGACAATATTTACAGTATAAAGGACTCTTTTATTGGCAGAAATGGCTGAAGCGATGCGTCAAACTGTAGCTGGAATGCTCAAAGGCATTGAAAGGTTCGTCGGGTCCACACAAATAGTTTTTAACACGACACGTGCTACTCGCAGTATTTTACCGCATACGAATGAGGAATTAAAATTTGTCAATGCGATTCTTATTGTATGTTTTAGACTGCATTCTTTTAAAGAGACAGTCGACAAAAGTTTCGACATTTCGTTTTATATTTGTTATTCATTGAATATCAAGAAAAATAGAACGATGTTTATGTCGACTGTATCCCCTTAAAAGGAAAATAACTATGATAATTGCTTTTCAGTTTCATACAAGTGTTGATTATTGAGTCTAAAGTTATGTATTTTGTACTCAGATAGTGATGTTATTACTTGCTTAAAAAAAAAAGTTATTGCATAACATAATATGAGTGAACAAGACACTGAGAAGGATCTTGTCACAAATGTTGAGCCAATTTGCTTTTCCTTCGAACATTTTGTTAAACACAAAAATCTAAGATTTTTTTTTAAACCAATTTGAGACTTAAGGAATGAAAAACAATCTCCAAATTTAACAAGGATAGAAGTTTTTCAAAATATACTTTTGTAAAATCTAGATACGTAGCTAGTTATAAAATATGTAAAAACTTTTGTTTTGTCTAAAACATTGATTGGAATCAAATATAATTATTATTAGTTTTGAGAGCTTATTATACTTTTTAAATTTCAAATTCAATAAAAAAATGAAAGTCAATAAAAAAATTAAATACATGTCTCTTAGATTTTTAACAATGTTATTTAACAATGTGTTTTAAGAAGAATCAAATTGATTCTAAATCAGTGAAACATATCGTACGGTTTCAAGCTTGTGCAGATTGTAGATAAAATTTCAATTAAATCTCATTTATCATAATAAAAAGAAATGTGCATTTAACTGAGTTATGATGTCAATGAGAATTATCTGAATTTTGATATAACTGGAAAGCAATTATTAATCTATAATAATAAGATATCCATACTTTTAATAATATAATAATTATTTAGAATTAGTTTTTTTTACTTGTATTGGCTACAGTGAATGTGCTTTCAGATACAATCCGGATAATCTCACGACTTTAGAGAAATATGTTGAAATACAATCCAGAGAAAATGCTTATGATCTGGAAGCAAATTTGGCTGTTCTAAAACTTTATCAGTTAAATCCGCACCGATTCAACATGGACATTACATGTCAAATATTGTTGAAGGCATTGACCAATCTACCACACACTGATTTCGTGTTGTGCAAGTGCTTGCTCAGCGAGAAACTTGTAAGTCTCAATTGAAGCATGCAGGATAATTTTCTTTTTTAAAGTTATTTACATGCAGTTGCATTGATCTGTAGATGTCAGAAAGCCCCATTAATCAAATCATGTATCTGGGAGATATCTTGGAACGATGCGACTTTCAGCACTTTTGGGACAGGGTATTGTCTATGTCCGAGCTTTGTGATAGGATTGTAGGTTTCCAGGATTCCATAAGAAAATTTGTATGTCACGTAGTAGGAATCACGTTTCAAACGATAGATAGAACACTCCTGGCACAATTGCTTGGTGGCGTGGATGGTATGATATATAAAGTTTTTATTTGTAATATTGCACGAGTGTAAAGTTTATTAAGTTTCTTTCTTTATAGATGCAACATTGAAACATTGGGTGAAAAAGTATGGTTGGAAAGAAGAGACTAAAACGATCATCTTCATTGCAAATCAAGACGAAAACATCAAAACCAAAAATATCACTGAAAAGATTGATTTTGAAAACGTGGCAGGTTTGATGGCTGCTTGTCTGTAAAAATATTAGTGATTACTTTTTAATAAAATTTATTATAACATTATCACTCATAATCAATTGATTTATTAAAAAATATTGTTAACAAATTAATTGATTATGAAAATTCATTTTCTGTGTACATTTTTTAAAATTTATTTAAAAAAATTTATTTTAAAAAATGTATTTATTTTATAAAAAAATTTATATGTTGTAATAACAATCTTCTATTTAAAAGATATTTTATTTTATAATTTGACATGTCTCTGATATATTCTCTATATCGTTTATCTTCATTGTCTCATTCGTCTTTACATTAACCTCTTCCTGACATTTGTCAGAATTTTTTTCTGTATGATCCTTCTCAATTTCCAAGTCTTCGCTGCTACATTCATCTATGGTAATTACGTTGGACTTTATATTGTCTACATCGTAAGCGGCCGATAAAGCGGCCTGCGTTTCTGCTGAAGTATCATTCTTCAAGATTTCACGCAAAGCCATTGTGGCATAACTGCTAGACTTCAAACACATTTCTATGATCAACGCTTTATTCTTTCCATCTGAAAATAGATCATTATAGTTTGAATTATTTTTAAAATAAACGTTTCGAATAAATGTAAAAGTAATTGATTTACTTGATTTATCCTGTGGAGACATATGCTTCCTCATTTCGTCGATATCTGATAAGATTAAGTCATCATGTTTATTTTCATAATGCATAATCTTCCAAGATAAATTCGTTGGAATTTCTAATATATTTCTATAAGCACCACTTAAACTATACTTTCTAAAAAGAGAGAAAGAAAACAATAGTAACAATTTATTGTAATATTTATTAGGTGTTGGAATTAATTCGTAGCGTTTTACAAGTGATGGGAAGTACTTTCATTAATGTATTTTTTAATGCTCATGTGAAATAAATAACATTCTTTCATTAAAAAACGCTACGAATTAATTCCAACACCTAATATTATGTTTGTAAGTAAACTCACTCACTTGTTATTTTGTCTAAGATCGGTAGTTAATCCATCTTTAGCTAAAAATTCATCGTACCAGGCTTTTGCATACGGCGGATATGTAACTTTCCAGCCAGGCTGAGGCATAACTACATCAGCCAAAGTGTAATTCGACAAATCTTCTTCTGTAAGAATTTTTACTGTTGGAAAATCCTGCTCCGAATTTTCTTTATTCATTTCATTCGATGTTGATTCGATATCTTTTTCTTCGACACAGGTAATATCAGTGTTATCTTTAATGTCTTTATTATCATTCAAAGGATAATCCATACTTTCGTCATTTATAGTCTCTTTGCAATTCCGTTTGCCATAAACTAAATCACCTACGACTACTTCTGTTCCGAACTGTTTTATCCTTTTCGATACAATATGATTCCATACGAAACTTTGATAAGCATGAATATACATTAATCGAATGTTTCGAGGGATTGAATCGAGTACGCCTAGAGGATTTTTGTCACCCGATATTTGTAGGCCTTTCAAAAGTCTGGCTTCAATTGTATCGATTCTTTTAAGCTTGGCATAGGCAGCACGAGCATCCTTGCTTTCCGCATAGATTCGTCTAACTTCCGCCAATTCGTTATCCTTTTCCGGTCGTGGTTTCAGAATTAGTTCGATTGTTTCATGCCATTTACCTAACAAAAGATAATGCAATATAAATTACATAAAAATACATAACTGAGTAATTAAAGCCTTAACTATCTAAGATAAATGTTTAGTGCTTAAACAATATTTTCGGTGTGAATTTATATACATATCCCGTCTTGCAATATAAATTCACACCGAAAAAATATTATTTTCTAAAGATCTAGCTTAGACAGTTAAGGTTAAAATGCTGTCTGATATAAAGAAAATAGTAATCACCCTGAAGTAGACATTTCCCAATTTCGTGTGTGGGTATAGTAGGTACTGATCCAAATCTTTGTAAACCGTAATAATTAATGAAGCCATTGTCCTGCAACGACTTCATCACTTGCTCGATCTTTTCGTCTGTCTCACAGGCGTTTCTCAGCGCTATCCTAAACTGATTACCACTTAGCATTCCTAATTTCAGGCTGTCTTTAGCGTATTTAAAGTTCCCTACATATGCACCGCGTATACTTTTACCAGCTCGCAATATGTTATGCGGTTCTACCTTTCTCAAACTAATCCACTGAGTCGTCCAGGCTCGGCGGTCTTTCGTGCCGGCGTAACAAAAGTTATTCGGCTGTAATCGTAAGCTTACAGCCAACTGATTCACAACGCTTATCGTATCCATATTTACTTTATGCAACAGAAAGTGACAGTAATCTCCTCCACATCTGCTCCAATCTATTCTCTTATCTTTGCGAATCTTGGGACCTAATATAACAATAAAAAAATTATAAAGTCTTTTTTTATATGAGGAAATTTACAACTTACCATTCGTGTCATTTTTA